GTGATGGAGAGGAAGAGCCAGGCTGGGCTCCCAGGGAGCAGCCCTACACCATCTCCAGCACCTCCTGTTGGGGACCCTCTGGCTGGCCCCAGGGTCACCCCCCACCCCAGGCCAGACAGGTCCCAGAGGTGGTGGGGTCATGGTGGGGTCACAGAGGCACAGCAGGCTGTGGAGCTGGACCAGCCCTCGTGGCCAGCGCTGCCCCGGGGCCCAGGGGACGGACAGACAGTGGACACGCCAGACAGGAGGGTGAGGGGTGTGAGCGGCACCTCCCCACATGCAGGACACGCTCGTCCCGCTGCCTGGCTGGGCCCCAGTGTGGGCAGGACCCCGGGACGGCACTGCTTGCAGAGGGGCCCGGAGCCCGGCTCTGGTCTCGCCCGGCCAGGCAGCACTGCCCTCCTTCTCCTGGTGCGAACACCTGCCTGCGCCCCCTCCGTGGGTGCCCTGAGGGTGTGGCAGCTGGGCGAGCCGGCACCCCGGCCCCTCAGAGAGGGGGTGCTGTGGGGATGGGCCCCTGTGTTAGAGACCCCAGCCGCCAGGAGTGCAGTCCTCCCAGGCTTGGGCCAGACTTGGAGCGGGAGGTGGGTGCCTAGGCAGACGGGCCGGGCTGCCGGCCTCACTCCGGGTCCATTCAGGTGACCATAGGCAGAAGGAAAGCAAACGCTGGGGACAGAGCGGGAAGAGGCCTGTCACAAGCTGAGGACTGGCCACGGCCACTGCAGCCCCGGGAGGCCCGGGGCTGGGGACAGGGCCTCAGGGACATCTGCGCGGGGTGGGCACCCGAGACCCCAGGTGGGGCGGGAGGGTTCCTTCCCGACAGAGACGTCTGCTCCAGGCGCCGTACGCCCAGGCAGGCTCTTCCCAGGAGTGCCCACCCCCCATTCCCAAGCAGCTGTTCAGGGCCTGCGGGGTAGGCTGCAGCCCTCAGACTTGAGGAAAGCGACTTCGAGGGAAGGGGCTGTGAACAGGAGGGAGGGTGTCCATACAGACCAGCAAAGCGCGTGGAAGCTACCGGTCCTCGGGGGGTGAAGGGAGATGGAACTCTTGGATGTTATTAAAATTCTGGTAGTGGGAATGAGTAATTAACGAAAGGGTGGCAAGATAAATCTCAAGAAATCTCCTCCAAAGGCAGAAAAGAGGAGACATAAGGTAATTAGAGGTTCCTCCAGGAAGCCCAGCATCTGAGTCAGAGTAGCCCCAAGAGGAGAGAATCCAGGGGTACCTAGAGGACCTTGCCCCGTCCGTCCCTCCTTCTGGCACCTGCATGCTGGCAGGGGTGGTCCCCCAGGAGGGAAGCAGAGTCCCACTGCAGTCAGGAGTCAGGTGGTTCAGAGCTCTCAGTACCAACGGGAAGGACCATCACCGTCACCCCTGGGAATGGCTTCTCACCCACAGCCAGGCCCAGCCAGGCTTCTAGTCGAGGCCTGGAGCCTATGAAGACACTCCCAGAGAGCCGAAAGCAGTGGAACATCCCTCCTTGCAGCTATTCTCAGGAAGCTCATGGAGAATGTGCTCCTCTAGAGTCAGGGGGAAACTGAGAAGATGAAGGCTTCACGGTCAGGGATGCAGGAGCACTGGAGAGAAGTGGGGCGGGGAGGCCCTGGGCGCCGGGCTCATCCTGCGCCACTGGGCTGGACAGCAGCCGTCTGCACCAAGACAGGAGGGCAGAGGCTTGAGCAGGGATGTCCCTGGGAACAGGCAGCACTGCTCTGGCTTGTCTGAACATCCTGGGGAGGGTTGTGGTGCTCAGTCCAGTTCATGATGGCTTTGTAAGGAATCCAACAGGGAAGAAATGGTATCACTTTTTTTTTTCTTTACTCTTCCCCCCTCTTTAGATAGGATAATTTCTACTGCATGCTTAGTTGCTAAGTTGTGTCCGACTCTTTGCAACCCCATGAACGGTAGCTCACCAGGCTCCTCTGTCCATGGGAATCTCCAGGAAAGAATACTGGAGTGGGTTGCCACTCCCTTCTGCAGGAGATCTTCCTGACCAGGGATCAAACCCGAGTCTCCTGCATTGCAGGCAGATTTCTTTACCATGTGAGCCACCAGGGAGACCCTAGCTTCTATCGATCTGTCTTTAAATTCACTGACTCTCCAATCTGCTGTCAAGCCCAGTCAGTGGATTTTCCATTTTAGTTATTATACTTTTATACTTTTTATTAGAGAGTTGCCATGTAGTTATTCTGTGTTGTGGTTTAGTCCCAACTCTTTCGCAGCCCCACGGACAGCAGCCTGCTCTTCTCCTCTGTCCATGGGGTTTCCCAGGCAAGAGTGGGTTGCCGCTTTCTTTTCTAGGGATCTTCCTGATCCAGGGATCGAACTCACATCTCCTGCATTGGCAGGTTGGATTCTTTACTGCTGAGCCATCGGGGTTCCCATTCTCTTATGTGTTTCATGTGATTTCCATTTCTACCTCTCTGTTTCATGAAGATCGTATTATTCTTTAACTTTTTGAACATGTTTTTCATTCATTCTTTGAACACAGAATAGTTCAGTGTTAAAGTCTTTGCTAAAGGCAGCCTCTGAACCTCCTTCAGGTTGCTTTCTGCATGTGCTTTTCTACATTCTTCCCCCTTACCTATGGGTTGTATTTCCTTTGTGATTTTTATATTATCTACTGAACACTGTGAATGATAGGGACTCTATTCTGTTGCCTCCGTTTGAAGAATGCTGGGTGGTGTTCTAGTGAGCAGGCAGTTTCTGATTACCTTGAGCTGGTGAGGGGGGCATAGCTTGGCATTTCATTCAGTCGGTTCAGTTCAGTCACTCAGTCATGTCTGACTCTGTCACCCCATGGACTGCAGCACACTAGGCTTCCCTGTCCATCTCCAACTCCTGCAGCTTGCTCAGGCTGTTGTCCATTGAGTCAGTGATGCCATCCAACCACCTCATCCTTTGTCGTCCCCTTCTCCTCCTGCCTTCAATCTTTCCCAGCATCAGGGTCTTTTCCAGTGAGTCAGCTCTTCACATCAGGTGGCCAAAGTATTGGAGTTTCAGCTTCAGCATCAGTCCTTCCAATGAACACCCAGGACTGATCTCCTTTAGGATGGACTGGTTGAATCTCCTTGCAGTCCCAGGGACTCTCAAGAGTCTTCTCCAACACCACAGTTCAAAAGCATCAGTTCTTCAGCACTCAGCTTTCTTTATGGTTCAACTCTCACATCCATACATGACCACTGGAAAAAACATAGCCTTAACTAGACGGACCTTTGTTAGGGTGGATCTTCATCTTGGAGAGGTTCACCCTACAAAGTGTCCCATGGATTTTCTGGGGCTTAGGGGCCTGGTTACACTGGTGGGGTTGGCAGAGTGGGTCTACAGTGGGTCTCTCTCACTGTGGTCACTGAGATGGATCCCTGAGTGAGTGGCACCACTTGACCACGCATGTCTCTGACGAACTCTTGGCCCAGGGACAGTTGCCTCTGGGAGCTCTGGAGGTCCTGCACTCTTCCCTGCAGCTCTGGCCCCACGGCCCCTCCAGCTCCTGCAGTTCTGGCCCCGCGGCCCCTCCAGCTCCTGCAGTTCTGGCCCCGCGGCCCCTCCAGCTCCTGCAGTTCTGGCCCCGCGGCCCCTCCAGCTCCTGCAGTTCTGGCCCCGCGGCCCCTCCAGCTCCTGCAGTTCTGGCCCCGCGGCCCCTCCAGCTCCTGCAGTTCTGGCCCCGCGGCCCCTCCAGCTCCTGCAGTTCTGGCCCCGCGGCCCCTCCAGCTCCTGCAGTTCTGGCCCCGCGGCCCCTCCAGCTCCTGCAGTTCTGGCCCCGCGGCCCCTCCAGCTCCTGCAGTTCTGGCCCCGCGGCCCCTCCAGCTCCTGCAGTTCTGGCCCCGCGGCCCCTCCAGCTCCTGCAGTTCTGGCCCCGCGGCCCCTCCAGCTCCTGCAGTTCTGGCCCCGCGGCCCCTCCAGCTCCTGCAGTTCTGGCCCCGCGGCCCCTCCAGCTCCTGCAGTTCTGGCCCCGCGGCCCCTCCAGCTCCTGCAGTTCTGGCCCCGCGGCCCCTCCAGCTCCTGCAGTTCTGGCCCCGCGGCCCCTCCAGCTCCTGCAGTTCTGGCCCCGCGGCCCCTCCAGCTCCTGCAGTTCTGGCCCCGCGGCCCCTCCAGCTCCTGCAGTTCTGGCCCCGCGGCCCCTCCAGCTCCTGCAGTTCTGGCCCCGCGGCCCCTCCAGCTCCTGCAGTTCTGGCCCCGCGGCCCCTCCAGCTCCTGCAGTTCTGGCCCCGCGGCCCCTCCAGCTCCTGCAGTTCTGGCCCCGCGGCCCCTCCAGCTCCTGCAGTTCTGGCCCCGCGGCCCCTCCAGCTCCTGCAGTTCTGGCCCCGCGGCCCCTCCAGCTCCTGCAGTTCTGGCCCCGCGGCCCCTCCAGCTCCTGCAGTTCTGGCCCCCACGGCCCCTCCAGCTCCTGCAGTTCTGGCCCCGTGGCCCCTCCAGCTCCTGCAGTTCTGGCCCCATGGCCCTGGTTCCCTTGAAGACTCAGTGGAAACCCTCAGAGAGCTGTGTCCAGGTCGGTGGGGTGGGGGTAGATTCTCACCTTGAACTTGGTCTGTCAGTGTAAGACTGGAGAGTCAGGAAACAGCCGTATCAGCCTGTTAGAGAGAAGTTCAACGGTAAACGTCCAAAGCTCGTGGGAGTGGCGGAGTGGGTTGGGGAGCAGACGGCACAGGGGGTGGGTGGGGGACCCTCCAATCCAGGCCTGTGTCAGGACCTGGGTCTAAACAGAGGTGCTGCAACAATCCTGTGATACAAACCACACAGCAAATGAGGTCAAACTGGCCCCTTTCCCTAAATGTGGAAAAGCAAAATGCATGTTGGCAGGAGCCTGTTGGCCACCTGGGGACGGCAGTGCTTTGTTGTCGGCCTGGGTGATTTAGAGCTGACTGCGCCTGTGGGGCAGGCTCCTGTCGGAAGGCTGAGGCCGCCCAGGCCCCGCTCCCCAACCACGGAAGCGGGCCCTGTGAGGTCTCCCCCTTTGTATGGAGCCTGCAGCCTGACTGCCCGTCTCCACTGGCCTCCAGCAGCTCCTGCATTTTCCCTGAGAATGGACCCTGGAGACCCCGAGGAAAGGTCTGCTGCCGCTGACCCCGCCGCTGACACCACTGGTGGTGAGTCCCGCGGGTGAGCCTGTGCCCCTCACGGCCCCAGGTCCAGCGGGCAGTGCAGGGCGGGCCATGGCGTAGGCGTGTGGGTGTGCACGGGGCAGGGACACCGGGTCGGAGGTGTCGGGGCAGCGCCGGCCTGGGGCATGGAGAGCGGCCTCAGGTGTGGGCGGGGGCAGGCCGCCGGCTGCTGCCACGGCCTCCTGTCCCGGGGCCACGGGCGCACCTCCTGCTGCCTGGGAAGCATGACCCTGTGGCCCCGTGGCGGCCTGCCTGCTGGCCGCGCGCCTGGTGACTGACTCTGAAGGGCGGCCGTGACTGGACAGACAGTTCTGGGAGAAGGACGGAGCCCACGCTGAGGTGTGGGTAGAGCTGGGTGCGCAGGTGGTTTTCTCTGGAGCCCTCACTGCGCCCCACACCAAGTATGGACACAAGGCCTCTCATCCGTCCGGCCAAGAAGGCGGGAGCAGGGGGCTGACAGGTGTCTGAAGAGCAGGAGCCCCCACGGGGCCCCAGCCCCAAGAGAGATGTCTGAAGAGCAGGAGCCCCTACGTGGCCCCCATGTGACCCCCAGACCCAAGACACCCGAGGCTGTCGGCTCTGGACTCTCCTCCAGAAACCCCGAACTCCTCTTGGGCGGCATCTGTGGGCTCTGCCGGGCTTGCTTTCTGCGCATCTGCTATGTTTGGTGATGTGGGTGGGGCAGACACAGGGCCACATGAAGTCTGATATGAAGTCCCCCCAAGAAAGACAGATGGTGACATGAAAGAGGAGACCGAGGCTGGAGAAGCAGGGGCTCCTTCCAGGCCAAGGCCCTGTGTCCAGTTGGAGAGTGGTCCCTTCCTGCTACCCTGAGCACCCTGAGGGGCTGGCTCTGTGCTGGGCTGGGTCCCCCAGTGGGCACACTGGTGGGAAGGAGGGCCCCGAGCATGTAAGCAAAAGGGCAGCACCTTCTGCAGGTGGTGTGGATGGAGGTCTGGTCCAGCCTCTGAGCCCACAACCCAGGATCCTGGGCATCTCCCTGGGGTCCTCTGAGATACATGTCCTGCTCTAGCAGACTCTCCAAGGGGGTGATGGCAGATGCCTTTACACTAAACCTAAAAACTGGACTCCATTGCTGCCCCAGTGTCCTCAACATGAACTCCAAGATGTTCCCCAGAGGTCCATATTATGTCAAGTCTTTGGGCCTTAAAGGCCACCCTACTGGGAAAGGGGATGAGACACAGCCCCCCATCAGACACAGTCCCCACCATCAGACACAGTCCCCCATCATGCACAGTCCCCCATCTGGCACAGTCCCCCCATCACACAGTCCCCAATCACACACAGTCACCCCATCACAGAGAGCCCCCCATCACACACAGTCTATCATCCCACACAGTCCCCCGTCACACACAGTCCCCCCGTCACACACAGTCTGCCGTCACACACAGTCCCCCCGTCACAGACAGTCCCCCGTCACACACAGTCCCCCGTCACACACAGTCTCCCCGTCACACACAGTCTATCATCACACACAGCCCCCCGTCACACACAGTCTATCATCACACACAGTCCCCCGTCACACACAGCCCCCCGTCACACACAGTCCCCCGTCACACAGTCCCCCGGCAGGTAGAACACCTCGTAGTGTTAGAATCGTGCTGTGTACAGAGGTCTGTCAGTAAGTCGCTTCCGGTTTCCTCTGTTTCTGGTAGCTTGAGAGCCCTCGTCCTCCGTGCTGTGTGTTTCATTTTCTGAGGGGGCAGAGTGTGTTTCCCGAGAGCCGCTGTTGCAGCTCGTGTGCACTCCGCTCTGTGGCCGTTCAGTCTCCTCCTGTCTGTTCTGCACTGGCACTGCCCCAGGGCCACGTCAAGTGGTCGGCGGCTCCTCCTCGTGTGTCCGCTCCAGGGGAAGCTTTCATCACTGAGGCCTCCATTTGCAGAGGGTTTTTACAGACACCTTTTCTCTGGTTTAGGACATCCCTTCTCGTCCTAGTTTGCTGGGTTATATTTTCAGTTGTAAGTAGAATCACTCTTCACAAGCTATCGCGTTTACATGAGACACTTGTGTGTCCAGTGACAGGCTCAGGTGACTTTCCTCCCGTATTGCAGTGTGAGCGGGGCAGACGCGCCTGCGTTGTCAGCCGGCCTTGCTTTCTGGGGCAGACTCTCCTGTGACCTCTGGGGTTCCCCACAGTCACCGTCTTCTCTGCGAGCCCGCGTCCTCGGGGCCCTTGGCTCGGGTCTCCCATCTTTCCGTCTGTCCGTCCGGCTCCCTGCGGAGCGGCTGCTGCCCTTTGCCCCTTGACTCTCGAGTGGCCTCGCAGGTGTGGCCACCTGGGGTCCTGCTCCCCTGGGTGTGGACCGCGGTCCTGAGTCTGACCCCGAGGTCCTGGCTGAGGGCCGGGTGCTCCTCCCACCTGGAATGGGCGGGGGCCCCCACAGCCCCGTCCCTGTTGGCGGGTCTCACGCCCACCCTCCCCAGGCCCTGGCCCACGGCCCCTGAAGCAAAAGAACCAGGTTCGTCTGCAGCTTCTCTTGGGGGCTGGACAGGTGATGGCCCCCAGACCCCTCTAGCAGAACTGGCAAGGCAAGATGGCCTAGGCCTGCAGGCTAGGCTGGGGCAGGGGGATGGAGGTGGGGTGGGTTGGGGGGGGAGGTGCTGCGGAGGCTGGTGGGCTGCGGTGAGGGAGAGGGCGTGGGGAGCGGGAACCCTGACTTCAGGGCACAGAGGGTGAGGCCCAGCAGGCAGAGAGCCAGCGGGCGCTGGTGGCCACGGGCAGCTCAGAGCTGGTCCCCAGCCCCGGCCTCAGAAGTGGCTTCCTTTCCCACACCCAGAGCAGGCAGCCATGTCTTTTCTCGGACAGCCGGCCCTCCTTGGCCCTAACCTGGGACCTGGCCTGACGGCACCGACTCTTCCAGCTTGAGGGTGACCTGGACCCTTGCCGCCCTGGGCAGCACTGGGCTGAGCAGGCGCCCACTCTGGGACCCCACGCCCTGCCCTGCAGCAGGGAGCGGAGAAGCTTAGGGACTTGGGCCTGGGTGGGACTCGCCAGGAGCAGGACAGGGCAGAGGGAGGACAGGGGGGCAGAGGCCAGGACCACGTTGGGCCTCAGCAGGGGCCAGAGGCCGGACAGTGGGCCGTGGATCGGGGGGTGCCTTCGGGCCGGGTCAGTACCGCAGGCCTCCCCGCTCACACGGACCAGGGGCCCACTGCGGCGGGAATGCGAGTCTGGGCTCCCTGAGCTGAGCTGGAAGCCCCCCAGCAGGCACTGCAGGAAGCCCCACTGCCTGAGCAGCAGGCCAGGCCTAGGGAGGCGCTCCCCGCCGCACACAGCCTCTCCACAGCCCTGCCCTGTCCCCCCAGGCCGGGACCTGCACCTGTTCCTGCAGACCTTGCAGACGCTGTGGTCCACTCGGGAGCTGCGACAGGTGAGCTGCCTCTGTGAATGTTCTGGGGGTCATGTGGGCTTGTGGCTGGGAGACAAGGCCTGCTGGATGCACGGAGCAGGAGGAGAGGGCAGTGCCACCACCAGCCTGCGGGCAGCGGGGGCGCCTGCTGGGCTTTGCTGTCTGCCTCCTCTGCCGGAAGGCCTGGAGGACAGCCGTGTGTGTGGTCTGGCCGGCAGACAGTCAGGATCTTCCACGGCCACTGGGCCCCGCACAGCGGGTCCCATGGGGGCCCTGCAGGACGGCAGCTCTGCGTCAGCCCCCAGCTGGCACCAGTACTGGCCCTCGGCCGCTGCTCCCTGCACTGAGCTCCCTTGAGGCACTGAGGAGTGAGGCGGCCCTGGTCCCCGGGGGGCGCAGGCTGCAGGAGCCACGCGTGACTGGGGGGGGGGCATCCTCTCGGGCCAGCCTGGCCTCCCTACCCCCACCCCCCACCGACCCCATGACCCCAGGGCCGGTGAGCTCCAGGAAGGCCATGGGCCTGCAGGGGAGGCCTGTCTGTGAGCCGGAGAGGCTCACGGGGCTTCCCAGGGCACGAGGCAGCCTTCTGTCTGGACAAGCCCCTGCGGGTCCAAGCTGCGCGGCCTCCCCCGACTCGTGTAGGCCTGTCAACAGCTGGCTCTGGTTGTTAGCTGGAGAAATCCAGTGCTTCTGCAAAAACCAGAAGCTTCTTGATTTCCCGATTCCGTGCCCTGTGGCTTTGAGGGAGACTCAGGAAGCTGGGCCACGGAGCTGTGAGGCCTTCCCGCCTAGACGTGCCTGCCTGCTGCAGGGGAGATTGCGTTTCCTGTTGGGTCGAGCTGAAGCAGCCGGGAAGAACCGCCTGTCTGTTCCCTTGCCGCCGGGCGCCGCGGGGCTCTGAGCCGGGCTGGGGGCTGGGAACGTACCTGTGAAACCCAGGTCTCCCTGAGAGTTTCCACTTCCGGACCTATTTCCCAGGGGAGTGCCCGCTTCCTGTGCGTCAGCACGGTTTGGGCCAAGGTCCCTCCGGTCCCGTGACCCCGAGGGCAGCGCAGCCCCTGCCTGCCCCCGCCCCCCAGGGCTGACCGCCTCAGGCGCTGGACCCGCAAGTGGTGGGCCCAGGCGTCTCTGTTGCCGATGCCGCCCTCTTCTCCTTCCTCTCCTCCACCCGAGTCTGTCGTCCTCGTTTGATGTCTTGGATTCCACCTCGGATTCCGTCGTCCTTCCTGCTGTCTGATTTTCACTGTCTCCCCTTGACCAGCATGTTCTTCATTTCCAAAGAGACGCGGGGCTGTGTCTTAATGCCCGTCGGCTGTCTTCCTGGCCGGGAAGGCACCTGATCCGTGCTCTGGCTTCTGTGCGGGCCAGGCTTGTACTGTGGTCGTTTGTGTAAATGCTCCGAGTTCCCCGTTTGGCTGGTGTCCCGCCAGGAGAGAACGCGTGTTCACACTCCAGAGCTCGCCCACGCTGCCCAGTGTCATCAGACGCGCGTGAGGCCTGAGGCCCAGCCACAAGCGGGGGGCAGGGTACCTGGGGGGCCTCGAGGGGTGGGGCGGAAGGTGCCCACTGCCCCCTCCCTGCCCTGGCCTCCAGGGCGGCGGCAGGAGGTGTGGTGGCCGAGTCCCTGGGGGTCAGATGAGCAGGGGGCCCTGGAGGCCAGCGCAGCCCAGGGCAGGGGCCTCAGGACGAGCCTGCAGAACTCCTGGGAGCTTGGCCCTGTGGGGAAAGAACTGGGAGGCCGCGGGGTCCGTGGTCGAGCCTGTAAGGTGGTCAGCAGGGACTGGAGGAACAGGCTAAGCAGGCACAGCGCTGAGGCCTGAGGGTGGGAGGGGGCCGGGGGGGGGCCTTGCTCCCCATGGGGGGCCCAGGCCTGCACCCTGGAGACTGCTGGGAACGCTCACTCCTGGGCGCAGCGCAGCCCCACGGGGCCGGAGCCCAGCAGTGCTAACAGGCCCTCTGGGGCCCTGGCCCAAGCCCACTGCAGTCGGGGGGCTGTGCCTTCACCCTTGAATGTGAGTAGGAAGGAGGGGCTGTGCCCAGGTCCCAGCTGGGTGGGGGTTAGGAGCGGGAGGGGCCCAGAAGGTGGGAAGGAGGCAGGGAGGGGTCAGCCGGGGGGCCTCAGGGCTGGGCCTGAAGGGCCGTCAGCGTGGACGCTGCACCCAGCATGCCCAGGAGCAGGGTGAGGGGCCACGTGGCCGGGGACGCCGGACCTGGTGTGGGCAATCCCCCCACGGCCGCGGCGTCTGCTTAGGGCCAGCGTGTCTTATCCTTCACTTAGGGCTGATAGCTCTTCTCTCTCGTAATTTCAGACGTGTTTCTTTTCTGTCTTCGCTCCCAAGCTGGTATCTTGTCATCGTTTACCCTTGGAGCTTTGATCGCCCCGTGGTGGTCGTCACTCCCATGGGTGTTCCCCGCCAGGCCTGCAGTTTTCACAGGAGCTCATCTCAGTGCAGCCCATCCTTTCTGGTGGCCAAGGGCCAGGCCCAGAGGCGCCCCCAGGACTGAGCCCCTGAGCACACCCGCAAACACCCCGGGGGCCCCGGCCCTGCGTCGGCGCCCCAAGGCAGCCTGGGGTCTCCCCTGTGCTCACTGTGCCTGGTGGCCCAGGGTCTTCACAGACAGCGTCCACCCGGTGCTCGAGGGGGAGTCCGCGTTTTGTCCTCGCGAGCCCTGCCCAGTGGCCAGAGAACAGCGGGTTTCAAGTCACAAGGACGTGAGTGGATGTCGCTCCAGGAGTGTCCTGGGGAGCCCGCCCAGGGTGGGGCCACGGCCATGCCCATGCTGAGACCTGCCACCCAGCAGTGGCCCCTGAGCCCCAGGCTGAGCACAGCAGAGGTGTTTGTGGGGGAAAGGCTCACACAGGCAAGAAGGGGGTGATGCCGGGGGCCTCGGGCCTAAAGAACGCTTTCCCAGGTGAGGGCGTCAGAGGGCGGCGGGGCCCAGGTGAGGGCGTCAGAGGGTAGAGGGCCCAGGTGAGGGCCTCGGAGGGCGGCGGGGCCCAGGTGAGGGCCTCGGAGGGTAGAGGGCCCAGGTGAGGGCCTCGGAGGGCGGCGGGGCCCAGGTGAGGGCGTCAGAGGGCGGCGGGGCCCAGGTGAGGGCCTCGGAGGGTAGAGGGCCCAGGTGAGGGCCTCGGAGGGCGGCGGGGCCCAGGTGAGGGCGTCAGAGGGCGGCGGGGCCCAGGTGAGGGCCTCGGAGGGTAGAGGGCCCAGGTGAGGGCCTCGGAGGGCGGCGGGGCCCAGGTGAGGGCGTCAGAGGGCGGCGGGGCCCAGGTGAGGGCCTCGGAGGGTAGAGGGCCCAGGTGAGGGCCTCGGAGGGCGGCGGGGCCCAGGTGAGGGCGTCAGAGGGCGGCGGGGCCCAGGTGAGGGCCTCGGAGGGTAGAGGGCCCAGGTGAGGGCCTCGGAGGGCGGCGGGGCCCAGGTGAGGGCGTCAGAGGGCGGCGGGGCCCAGGTGAGGGCCTCGGAGGGTAGAGGGCCCAGGTGAGGGCCTCGGAGGGCGGCGGGGCCCAGGTGAGGGCGTCAGAGGGCGGCGGGGCCCAGGTGAGGGCCTCGGAGGGTAGAGGGCCCAGGTGAGGGCCTCGGAGGGCGGCGGGGCCCAGGTGAGGGCGTCAGAGGGCGGCGGGGCCCAGGTGAGGGCCTCGGAGGGTAGAGGGCCCAGGTGAGGGCCTCGGAGGGCGGCGGGGCCCAGGTGAGGGCGTCAGAGGGCGGCGGGGCCCAGGTGAGGGCCTCGGAGGGTAGAGGGCCCAGGTGAGGGCCTCGGAGGGCGGCGGGGCCCAGGTGAGGGCGTCAGAGGGCGGCGGGGCCCAGGTGAGGGCCTCGGAGGGTAGAGGGCCCAGGTGAGGGCCTCGGAGGGCGGCGGGGCCCAGGTGAGGGCGTCAGAGGGCGGCGGGGCCCAGGTGAGGGCCTCGGAGGGTAGAGGGCCCAGGTGAGGGCCTCGGAGGGCGGCGGGGCCCAGGTGAGGGCGTCAGAGGGCGGCGGGGCCCAGGTGAGGGCCTCGGNGGGGGGACTGCCCGCTCCTCGGGGGTCTCGGAGAAGGTGGGGGGGACTGCCTGCTCCTCGGGGGTCTCGGGGAAGGTGGGGGGACTGCCCGCTCCTCGGGGGTCTCGGGGAAGGTGGGGGGGCTGCCCGCTCCTCGGAGGTCTCAGGAAAGGTGAGGGGGACTGCCTGCTCCTTGTGGTCTTGGGGAAGGTGCTGGCCGTTTCTACTCTGGTTGTGAGGCAGTGTCTCTGCCCCCGACCCCTTTCCTCTGAGTACTTTCGGTCGAGGGCCCTGTGTCTGGAAGTAGCAGGACAGGGCTCTGGAAGCTGCTGCTCTGCAGGGCGTCTCCGGAGAGGGTGAGCGAGCCGACCCCCGGTTGTTGAGGGCAGAGCCTCGGGCCGGCCAGGGAGCAGGGCCTGACCTCCGGAGGACGCGCCGCCTCCCGTGCCCTGCCCAGGCCTCTGTGGGTCGGCACGGGAGAGTCCGTCCGGGGGCAGACTGGATACCTCAGAGGGAAGAGCTAGCCCTGTGCTCTGCCCGTCTCCGTGGGGGGGCTCCATGGGCTCACAGGGTCGTCGAGGCAGCCTTCCTCCTGGCAATGCTCTGCACTCAGCGCCGTGACACCCCGGTCCCAGGACAGGGGCTTCCTGGGAAAAGCTTTTCTTCTTTGTGGCCTTGAGTGGGGTGGGGGGTGGGTCTCTTCCTCCAGCCCCTGCCCTGGCCCTTGGCGACCTGCACACCCTCTGTGGGGCTGGAGCTGAGGGGCTGGCTGCGCTCAGGGGCCCCTCTGGCCACGTGAAGGACGCCGTGATGCTCGCCGCTCCCCTGGACGTGGGTGGCGGAGACACACGTGTTTGTCTCAGTCGTTCAGCTCTTACGTGTCTCTAGGAAGATAAACAGAAGGCAGGTTTCAGTTTGGGTTTCTCCTTCCTTTTCTCTGTTTCCAGTCATATGTTAGGCCCACTGCCACGTCCCATGCATGCCACACAGGTGGTCAGGGTGCAGAGGGTGCCACCCAGCTTCTGGCCCAGGGATCAAGCCTGGCCTTTGCGGGGCCATCCGCCTGGACAGTGCAGCTGGCAGGGAAGGTGGGCAGCTCCACTCTGGTGGGAGGGCTGGCGGTAAGGGCTCACCACAGTGGGGCCTTGTGTCTCCACAGCTCCGGGAGGAAGCCTGGAAGGGGTTCGCCACCCTGAATGACCCGCTCGCCACTCTCCTGGACATGCTGGACGCCAGCCGGGGCTGCGGGGGGCGGGGCCCCTCACTGGAAGCATGGGTGGCCCGCGAGCTAGAGCGCTGGCTGCAGGCACAGCCGCGCCCAGGGCCCGCCCAGGTGAGCCCCACCCTCGGCCCGTGGCCTGTTCCCTTCTCACCCCGTCCAGCCCTCCACACGAGGCCCCACGCCCACCTGACCTGGCCCCGGCAGCCCACAGGGGTCACCGACAGTGGGTAGGCCTCTAACAGCCATGTGCCAGGTAGCCTCGGCTCCCTTGTCTGTGCCCCTGCCCACCCACAACGTCCACCCACCAGCCTGAGGCTGCAGGCGCTGGCCGCCCCACACCAGGCCCACCCAGGCACCATGCCCCCTGCCCACATCAGGTCTCAAGACCCTGGCCACAGCTGCCGCCTCCACTGAGGTCAGGTCTGGGGTCTCCAGGGCGACCCAGCACTGAAGCCACTGCAGGTCCGTGCAGTCCGGCTCCTCACTGAGGGCCCCCTCAGCCTAGTGGAGCCGCTGGTCAGCATCTTCCAGCTGCAGGATGCAGACCGGAGCGCTGTGCTGGCTCACATTCACCGGCTGCACCAGGAGGGCAAGTTCAGAGAGGTGAGTGAGCCCTTCCCTGTGGCTCTGGGCCTCTCTCACGGGCCGGGCCTCCACGTGGGTCAGTGGCGTGGGTAAGAGCCAGGCTGGGGGCGAGACGCCCACTCTGGAAGTGTCCCCTCTACCCTGGGGGCTGTGCAGAGGCCGCAGGTCTGGGGTGCAGGGGACCAGCCCCCCAGGACCAGCCCAGGTCCATGCCTGGTGTGGGGGTCCTGGGCGCCCCCACACTGACCCGCTGAAAGGTCTAGGCACAGCCCCCACATCCAGCCTGGTCTACAGCACGTGCCAGGGTCCTTTCTTCCCAGGTGCCCACCAGCCTGTCACGCTTGGTCAGCAGTGTGGGGATGCCAGGCTCTGGCCCAGAAACCCACACGACTGCGGCCCACACTCCTTTGTTAATTCCCGGTGTGGGTGGGGAGGGGGCGTGAGGATGGGAGAAGCTTGCCACAGTCTCTGCCCACCCAGGCCACCCGGGGCCCAGGCCAGACCCTGGACCTGCTTTCTCCTCCTGCCCCTGCCGATTCACCCCTGCTCACCCAGCCCCTGTTGGCACAGCCTGGATGCATGGAGCCCGTGGGCAGGAGCCAAGAACCCTCTGCTTGAAGACAGGCCCTCCCTAAAGCCACAGGTCGCGGCCACGACAGGCTGGAGGACTGGCCGCTTTGCCTCTGGGCCTGGGTGTCCAGCTATCTATAGGGTGTCTGCCTTGGAGCCAGGGGCCTGCACTCTTTCTGGGTGGGGCCCACCCGTGCCTGTTTGCTGGGCCACTCTGGACTGGGTCGGGTCAGTGGTGGGGACCCTATGAGGGACAGACTCCCCCAGGCCCTACCAGATCCCCGCTGTCACCATCGTGCCAGCCCCGCCCCCCAGCCCCCACCAGGGACCAGGCCTGGCACAACATGCGTCCTTTTCAGAAGATTGGGTGCGGGGTGTCACGCCAGTGTGGGGTCCAGGCTCTCAGCTGCGTCCGCCGCTCAGGAGCTCCCAGTGTGTGTGATGTGTGTGGCTGGGGCGGGGAGGGCAGAGGGGCGGTGTTTGGCTCCCTTGTAGGAGGTAGGGCTGGCTCAGGGGGGCGTGTGGGCTTAGGAGTGCTGGCCTCTGGTGGGACTCCGCGGGCTTTTGGAAGCTTGGTGGTTTTGCTGATTCCTCTGTGAGCAGAGCTGGTTCTCATTTAAGCCCAGAAGGTTCCGACATGAAGAGGGAGCACTGAAGTCGTGCTCTCGGTGTCCCTGGGCCTGGCAGGTGCTCTGGCGATGACTCCCCCTGGGGTTGGTGGGCGGGGCGGCGGCGGGATGAGCGGCGAGGGGTTGGGAGGCCGGGCACCCGGCTGAGATCCTAGCGGCTGCTGCACCTGAGGTGTGGGCGCCCCGCTCAGAGGGGCCGTCTCCCCGGGGGATGAGTCCAGCCTCCAGGGGTCCAGAGGCCGCCCAGGACTCGCCTCCGCCGCTGCCTCGTGGGGCCCGAAGCCGAGCCCACACACCGGGGGACGGTGCTGCCGGCGCCCAGGAGGTCCCAGGTCCACCCCGCGCTCCCCCTCCCCGAAGAGGAGGCTCCTTGGAACGGAGGCGCGCGCCGGGCGGGCGGGCAGGCGGAGGACGCGCAGTCACAACGCGACGGTGCGGGGCGGCCGGGCCGCGGGGGAAGAGGCAGGCTGGTGTGTCGCGTCTCCTGTTACACTCGGGCCTTTCAAAGAGCGTCTGGACGGCTGAATGCGCCTCCCTCGCACTCCGAGGCAGGACTGGCACACAAAGAGCGCTCTTGTCCAGCGCAGGCCCCTCGTGCGAAGAAAGGCCATTGTCCCGGGCAGGCGGGCCCGGCAGGCGGTGCACGCTCCAGTGCCCGCGCCGCGCCGCCGAGGGGCCGCCTTCAGGCCTGTCCGCTCGGATTAGCGGGGACTCACGGCTTCATGTGCTGCGATATTTCATGTCGAGGGCGGTGGCGGCTCCGGCTGCGTGAATGCCCGCTTTTGTCTGCCGAGTTATTTTATTTACGTTTTTTAAACAGCTTATCAAGGTAAAAAGATAGCTTTGCTTAAAAAAGAAAATAAAAAGAAAAGGCCCCTTGGCGGCAGGCCCATGGTGAGCAGTGGGGGTGGGAGGCAGGTCAGTCCTGGGGTCTGGGCACCTGCCCCGGGCCCTGCTGGCCGGTCGGGGTCCTGCGTGCCTGCCCTTCCCGCTGTCACCGCCCCAGCCCCTCTGGTCTTAGTTACTTTTCACCAAAGCCACAGTTCTGGGGCCTGAGCTGGTTCCCACTGCCCCACCCTGACCCAGCCCAGGGCAGCCCTCTTCTCAGCGGCCCACTCTTGGCCTCCTGGGCAGAGGTCAGCGATGCCAGCAAGGTGCCAGGTGGCCCAGCCCTGGTCTCGTCCCCTACCCTCCTCCCACTGTGGCTCCCCAGCCTGGCCTGGGGCCGGTCCCAGGCCCCTGGCTCAGCAGGCGATTCCCCCACCCTCAGGGCCTGCGTGACCCAACAGAACCAAGGTGGGACTTCCTGGAGGAGATGGTTCTGCTGCCACCCACAGCCTCCAGGCCACAGACCCTCAGGGCTAGGGGGCAGAAAGGACCCTTCTCAGCCAGAGAAGACTCCCAGGGGAGTCCTTGGCCTTCCAGCCCCGGTGCTCCGGCCACACCCTTGTGCCCACGCAGGTCGCCTGGCCGAAAGAGGGCAGCCTGGTTGTACAGACAGCTCTGGCGGGCCTGGTCAGGGGCTGGCTGCCGTGGAGGAAGCAGGCAGGAGAGAAGGGCGCCCAGACCCTCTGGTGGCGTCACCCTGTGCCCAGGGGTGTGCATCCCTCACAGGCGGCTCTGACCACACACCTGGGTGGGCGGGGCCAGACTCTGAGCACTGCCTGCCCCGCTCCGCGGCCCCACACTCTGCCCTGCCAGTGGACACCCGGACCAGGGCCCTGACTGTAGGCCAGTGTGTGAGCCACCCAGGCCTGGTCGGCACAGCGGGCCCCTGGGCCTTGCTGTCTCCTGGGAGGGGGAGGGAGAGGGGAAGGATGGAAGCAGAGAAGAGAGGGAGGGAGGGGGTGTGGCCGACAGAGGAGGGCCTGGGGCGGGCGGACTCTGCAGGCTGTCCTCCCGCTGCTCTGAGGGGCAGTGCCTGGCCCGCCCTTGCCCCCACCGGACCAAGACCTGGGCCATCACCCCAGGCTGCCCCTCCAGTCTGAGGCTGGTTCTGGGGCTCGGAGTTCTTGGATGGGGGTGGCCTGCTGAGGAGCCAGACCCTCGGGTGATGGAGGCCAGCTGCCCTGGAGAGTGGTGAGGAGTCAGGGGCTCCCCTTGCTCCCTCTGCCGTCCTCTCCGGGGCCACTGCCTGGGGCCTGGCCTGGAGCGCAGAGGGCTCCAGGCCCCCAGTCCTCCCACCCATGCCCCTTCTCCAACCCGGCCTGGCCTGTCGGAGCCTGGGTCCAGATGCTGGCCCTGCGGGAGCCTGGAAGCCAGGACGCTGGTGGCGGGGCTCTAAGGAGGTCTGAACGTGGTGTGCCTAGTGTGTGCACTCCAGCTTTCGGGGCGGCTTTCAGAGCCCCCTCAACTTCCTGAGGGTCTCCTACCCAGAAGAGGTCAGAGCATCCAGTGAGGCTGCAGGGACACCTGGCCCCGCCCCCAGCCCTGCACCCGCTCCTCCACCAGGCCCGCCCAAGCCCCGCCCCCAGGCCTTCGTCCCCTTCCCTGGCCCACCACCTCCCCCATTTTTGCCTTTCCCCCTCCCCCAAGCCCTGCACCCCTCTCCCCTGGCCCTGGGCCCCCCGGGGCCTGGCCGAGGCTGAGCTCCTGGACTCCGGCCAGGCCGCGGGGCGCCGGGTCAGCGCCGCGCAGGGAGAGGCCCCCAGCCCCGCTCTCCCGCCCCGCGATCCCGGCCTCTGCCGGAGCTCCTTTCCCAGGCCGCTATTTTGGGCCTTTCTCTGAGCTGCGGGGGGCGGGGCCGGGCCGCCTGGCCAGTTATTTTTGCTCATTATGGGAGTGCGATGTATGGAAATTATTAATAGCAGCGCGGCCTGCGCTACGTGCGGGCGCTCAGGGCCGCCCCGTCTTCTTTGCAGAGTCCGGGGACAGTCGCGCGCCCAGGACAGGGCAGACCGCGCAGCGTGCACCCTGCCCCATCTGAGGGGCTGCCTGCGAGCCTGTGGCTTCAGAGCCGCTTACTCTATGGATCCCAGGGCAGCTCTCTGCATGCCCCCGATGCACCGACCACCCGGCCTGCTGCCCTGGGCCTGGGGTCAGCGCGCTCCATCAGACAGACTCTGAGTCGCTTTGGGGCGCACGCTGTGCCTTGTGGAAAGCGCTGGGAGGTCCGGAGGAGCCCGGCAGGTCAGGGCTGCAGTCCGTCAGGCTTCCAGAGCGCACAGAGCCCCTCCGGCCCCTCGGGGGCGCCGTGAAAAACTGCGCCGGGCACATTCCCGAGCCGGGGGCGCCCCTGGGAGGAGTGGGGGCAGCAGTCCACACCCCGCCAGGCTCCGTGGCTGGGTGATGGAGGCCCTGCCCCTCCCTCCGTCCGCCTTCTCATCAGCAACCCCTGACCCAGGCCCCCTGCCCAGCAAGCACCTCGAGGCCCCGTCTACGTTGAACCCTAGCTGGGTGAGGGGGACACAGGGGTCGTCCCAGCCACCCCACGGCACACATGGAGCCTGGCTCGGCACAGGGGCCTGTGGACTGGGGTGCTTCCTGGTTCCAGGCCCCTCGGCCTGAGGCCACGTGGCGGAACTGAACCGGCCGTGGCTGCCCTACAGTGCCTGGAGGCACCTGAGGGCGGCGGGCAAGGGCGGGAGCCCCTCAGGTGCACTCCTCACCCCGGGGCACTGCCCGTCCCATGGCCCCGTGTAATCCCGGCCCTTGGTGTTTCCCAGGCCATCGTGCTGGGCACGAAGCTGCAGCTGCAGGCAGATCTCGACGTGGAGAAGGTGTGAGTCTTTCTCATGTAGATCAGATCATGTCCAGGCCTCCAGAAGCATGGTTTAGGGAGGGTCCCCACCACGAGCTGTGGGCTTTGTTCCCACAGGTGGAGCTGAGGTGCTGGAGGGCAGGGGTCATACGTGACCACCTGATTATGTGAGGAGGGCCAGGGAGGGGCCAGTGAGTGCCTGTGAGCCATCAGCGGACGCTGGTATAGCATGCTCAAAAAGCGGCCAGTCACTAGGGGCGTACCAAGCTCTGGGGTGGCCTGAAGGGTTCTCAGGAGTGGGAGCTCCCATGAGGACCGTGCACCTAGAGCCCTGGCCTGGCAGATGGGCCCATGTCCCGTCTGGTCTCCACACGGTCTGACCTATGTGACCACATGGGGGAGGGGAGAGCAGGTGAGGAGACTTATGTGGGAGCCACTGGGAGGGGACCTTTTAAGGTCTGGTTCTTTCAAGGGGAGTGGCCAGTATCTTCCAAGGCCCAATACCATGGCCAGGGGCTCCCTTGGGGCTCCCCAGGGGCTTGGGCAGCTTAGGGGGTCTTGCAAGCATGCACCAGGGCACGTGCTGGAGCCATCTTGACACAACCAGCATTTCTGGGCCACCAGGGCTGCGGCCGGTGGTTGATCTCCACCCTGCTCCTCCTCCCCAGCCCACAGCCCCCTCCCACTGGCTCAGGGACAACAGAGCCCCCCCAGGAGCCCCCAGGCCTGTTTGAGCCTCCAATCCTTCACAGTGGAGATGAGGGTGACCACAGAGCCCCCCAGCGATGGCCTAAGGAGCAGCAGAGCCTGTGTGTGCATGTGTGTGTGTGAGCATGGGTGTGTGTGTACGTACATGGGTGTCTGTGTGTGTACATGGGCGTCTGTGTGTGCACATGGGTGTGTGCGCACATATGGATGTGTGTGTGAGCATGGATGTCTGTGCATAGGTATCTGTGTGCACATGGATGTCTGCACACGTGGATGGGTATGTGTGTGCACATGTGTGTGCGCACACATTGGGGAGTGTACACACATGGGTGTGTGTGCATGCACTGGGCTGTGTGTGAATACACATGGATGTGTGTGCGCATGTGTGTGCACTGGGGTGTGTGTGCACACATGGGTGTGTGTACATGTGTGTGTGCACTGGGGGGTGTGTGCGCGTGTGTGTGCACTGGTGTGTGTGCACACATGGATGTGTGTACATGTGTGTGTGCACTGGGGGGTGTGTGCATGTGTGTGTGCACTGGGGTGTGTACACGTGGATGTGTGTGTGTGTGCACTGGGGTGTGTACACGTGGATATGTGTGTGCACTGGGGTGTGTGTGCACACATGGATGTGTGTGTGCACGTGTGTGTGCACTGGGGTGGGTGTGCACACATGGATGTGTGTGTGTGCACTCGGGGTGTGTGTGCGTGTGTGTGCACTGGGGTGTGTACACGTGAATGTGTGTGTGCGCGTGCAATGGGCTGTGTGTGAATACACATGGATGTGTGTGTGCGTGTGTGTGCACACACATGGATATGTGTGTGTGCACGGGTGTGTGAATACACGTAGATGTGTGTGTGTGCATGCACTGGGCGGTGTGTGCACACACAAATGGATGTGTGTGCGTGTGTGTGCAGGGGCCCGGCTAGGCGCAGCGGGTGGGCCTTCAGACGGCGGCGGGGCCCCTGAGCCTCCCAGGGGAGGCGAGTTGCACAGACCAGCCTCTGGGCCCTTTGGCACCGACACCCTGGCCACTCGCTGTGCTGGGCTGGGGGTGAGTCTGGGTCTCAGCTGTGCTGGAGCCACGGCCTGAGGGGGTCTCCCCACAGGTGTGTGTGCCCCTGCTCCTGCAGGACAAGGTGGACCTCGTAGAGCGCTACGTGGACAGCCTGCCCCACCTCCAGCGGAGACTGCTGACCCTCATGGACTCCTGGTGCCAGCCCGGCTTTGACATCAGGGCCGTCGCCAGGTGAGCTCTTCGGGGCCCAGGGTGGGGGTGGGGCTCGATGGGCAGCAGGCCTGTGGGGGAGCCGCCACACATCCCGCCCCGCCCGCCCTCACCGCCCTGCGTCCCAGCCAGTCAGCAAGGGGGCTGCTTCTGGAGCCACGGGCCTGACTCCGGCAGCCACGCTCAGAGAGACCTGACTGCTCTGAATCAAACAGAAATAGTTCTCCCGGGGCCCCTTCCTTACACAGCCCCGAGGTCGCACCTCTCATCCAGGCACTGACCCCTCTGTTCCTTCCTTCGTCTACTTAATCTGTATGGAGTGCTGACAGTTACAGAGAAAAGGCAGCATGACAGCAGGGAGCCCACGGGTGTGCGTGTGTGTGCATGTGTGTGTGTGTGTGCGTGCACGCACGTGTATGCATGTGTGCGCCTGCATGTGCATGTGCCTGTGTGTGTGTGACACCAGGGTGTCACCTGCGCATGGGCATCTAGAAGAAGGGCTTCCTTCTGCCTCCCTGGGGGTGGGTGAGGGGAAGTGGCTCTGAGGCTGCCCAGGCTCCCTGGGCACCTGTCCGTCAGCAGGCGGCAGCATTGGTCCCACGTCTGGGTGCCCCATCCTGGCACCACACAGCCCTGACCGTCTCACTTGAGAGTCAGGCCTTGGGCTCTAGTGGCAGGTCTCCCGGGGCCCTTCCTGCCCTGGAGCCATGGGCAAGTCACTCCCATTTCTGGGAGTTTTCTCATCCATACAATGGGGCTGATTCTGTCTTTAGGGGCCGCTGTGACTTCAGCTCCTATGGGCAGGACAAAGCAGCAGGCCAGGCACGCGGCACATGGCTGCCATTGCTCTCATTATGTGTCAGAAACGGGAGGGAAACAGCTGGAGCAATAAGTGTGTGCAGATGGGGACGAAGGGAGACACAGGCAAGAAGTGGGAGGATCCTCAGGGTTAGATTTAACTGCAGATATTGTCTTAAATTAATGATTTTTTAAAAGATGTTCTCATTCTATGCCCTGAAAGGGTTCAGAGGCAGTGTCACCCTGTAGGAAGGAGCACATCCAGCAACGAGATCTTGGCTCCTAGGGAACATTCTCCACTAAAAGAAACACAGGCTCTGTGGGGAGTAGACTAAGAATGGGATCAGTAATCAAGTAAAAGACGGCAGCAGAGCGCAGCGCCTTGGACTCGTGAACACGCAGGAGTCTTTAGGCTCAGATGGCTTCACTGGTGAATTCCTTCAGACATTTAAGGAAAAACAGTACCAGTCTTACAAAAGTCCTTTCAGAGACTATAAAAAGAAAGAGCACATCCCACCATGTTTTATGCAAAAAGATGGGGAGGAAAGCTCTCCTTTACACTGTTGTGCCAGCTAATACATGGAAAGGAACAAGCAAGTTCGGAATCGCCATCTTGTAACTCCCAGTAAGATAATTGATTTAGGCACAGATGATAAAGAGATGCTAAGAAAGGAAGATACAAATACAGATACAGATCTCCCAGAAAAGGATAACATCACTACAGACTCTAGAGACAGTAAATGATAATAAATGTTTACAACAATGCAAGTATATTTGACAGCTTAGATGTAATAGACCAAATTCTTGCAAAGCATAGTTGGCAAAACCAAAAAATAGAAAATTTGAGTAGTCCTTTGTTGTTGTTCAGTCACTCAGTCATGTCCAACTCTTTGCAACCCCATGGACTGCAGCACGCCAGGCTTCCTGTCCTTCACCATTCAATTAAATAAATTGAATCTGTAGTTTAAAACTTCACCACAAAAAAACTTTAGGCTAAGATGGCTTCACGAGTGAATTCCTTCAAACATTTAAGAAAGAGAGCATATCAATCTTACAAAAATTTTTTTTCAGAAACTATAAAAAGAAAGAGCACATCCCAGCATGATTTATCAGCTAGTTTAAACCTTGGTAGTAAAACTTGAAAAGGACATTATGAGAAAGAAAAGTTGCACTCCAGTGCATCTCATGAGCACAGATGCAAAAATACTAAAAAAAAAAATTATCAATCAAATCAATTGACATGTTAAAGTGTTAATCAAGAAAAATGAATATACAAACTCAGAGTGTGAGACAATATTAGCAAATTCACATCTGATAAAGGACTGTTATCCAAAAATACAGAAAGTTCTCTTAAAATTCAGCAGTAAGAAAACAAACAACCTGATTTAAAAGGTGGACCAAAGACCCAAATAGACGCCTCACCAGAGAAGATACACAGATGATGCATAAGCCCATGAAAAGATGCTGTACATCATATGTCATCAGGGAAATGCAAATTGAATCATGAGCACGCACCCCTATTAACATGGACAGAAGCTGACACCACGCACCCCTATTAACATGGACAGAAGCTGACACCACAGCACCCCTGCTAGCATGGACAGAAGCTCACACCACGCACCCCTGCTAGCATGGACAGAAGTTCATACCACGCACCCCTGCTAGCATGGACAGAAGGTCACACCACGCACCCCTGTTAGAAGGGACAGAAGCTGACACCACGCACCCCTGCTAGCATGGACAGAAGCTCACACCACGCATGCCTGCTAGCATGGACAGAAGCTGACATCACCAAGTGTTGGTGACGATGTGGAGCAACAGAAACCATCATCACTGCAGGTGGGAATGCAAAATGGTGCAGCCGCATTGCAGGACAGTTTGGTGGTTTCTTACAAAACTAAGCACATTCTCATGTTATGACAACCCATCATGTTCCTTGGTATCTACCCAAAGGCACTGAAAAGCCCTGTCCACACAAAAACCTGTATTTGAGTGCTCATAGAAACACTATTCATAGTTGTCAAAGCCTGGAGGGAACCAAGATGTTCTCCAGTAGCTGACATGTGGGCATGCTAAGTCACTTCAGTCATGTCTGACTCTTTGCAACCCTACAGACTGTAGCCCACCAGACTCCCCTGTCCATGGGATTCTCCAGGCAAGAATACTGGAGTGGGTTGCAATGCCCTCCTCCAGGGGATCTATCCAACCCAGGGATCAAACCCGCATCTCTTATGTCTCCTGCATTGGCAGGCAGGTTCTTTACCACTAGCACCACCTAAGAAACCCCCAGTAGCTGGAGGGATAAGTAAACTGTGGTCAATCACAGCTGAATACTATTCAGAGCTAGAAGGACACGTGCTGTTAAGTCATGAAAAGATACTTGGGAAACTTAGATGAAGATTACAAAGTGAAAGGAGATTCCTGCTGCATGACATTCTGGAAAAGGGGCCAAAATGCAGACACAATTAAAGGATTAGGGATTGTGGCTTGGGGCTGGGGCTGGGGTCTCAGGTGTGCACACGTGTGCCTCTGTCGGGTGTGCACACATGTGTGGGTCTCTGGCCTGTTCCACTGTTCTGTCTGTACCACCTGTTTGACCACTGTGGTCTTGTAGCAGCCCTGAGTCAGACAGGTGAGCCTCCCATACTTTTCTTCTCTGTCAAAATTGCTCTTGTCTTATCCTGGACCCTCTGCATTTGTATGTGGATTTTGGAATCAGTTTGTCAGTTACTACCCAAAAAAGCTCCCTGTGCAGAGGCCCCAGTCAGGGCTCGGGGACCTCCGGCCAGTCTGCCTGGAGCCCAGAGGAAGTGGAAGAGCATTTGATGAGTACGAAAGCTGTAACTGAGATCTTCAGAGAGATTCCGTGTCCAGAATAAACCCCACAACTGTGCAAAGAGTGCCTTCGGGACTCAGAACAGACTTCCATAGAAACGTGATGGCAGGATGGGACTGGAACTCTCAGTAAAAGGTTTGGAAGATAAACCTGAAGATTCTTCCTAGCCTTTCCAAAGAAGGAAAATCAGAGAGGAAAGATTTAAAAAAAAAAAAAAAGCCAACAGATTTTGTCAAGAACACCCAGCATCCAAATAATGGGGATTCCATAAAGAAAGAGGGAAATGTGGAGGAATTCACTCCAGACACAGTCCTGAGTGGATGGAGAGAGACCCACACCAAGGACCAGGACTTGAACCCTCAAAAAGAGCAGGAGTCGGGCTCCGGGTTCCTGGAGCAGCAAATGGCCAGTGCAGTGTGAGTTGAAGGGCACCGTACCCAGGTCGATTCCTGGCCCCAGGGAGCTACCCGCAGAGTCACTTGGCTGCAGTCTGGAGGCAGGAGAGGTGCAGGGCGCCCTGGACAGGGAGGGGCTGTCCCCTTTGCGGTGGGGAGGGGAGTGACTCCGTCCTCATGACAGGTGGCTAAGGCAGCAATCAGACCAGCAAGGATTAACCCACCACCAGTCATACTTGGATGGCTATAATTCTGTGAAAGCAGCTGGTGCCCAATGAACTGGACCAAGGATGCCGTTGTCTGGGGAGGGGAGCCTTCCATGCTGAGGCCTCCGTGGAGAACACCTAGAGCTGAATCCTCCAGAGGCCACCGTGCCAAGCAGTTCCTGGAAACACGGGACAGACCTAAGCCATCCCAGAATTGTTGAGCAGGGGGCTGTGATGGGCTGCCTTCCTCTGAGCCTTGAGGAAAACTTGGCTTCTGAACTGTGCACATGTATGATGCTGATGAAAATTAAGACCTTGAAGTGCGTTGGCCAAGAGAAAGCAGTGCTGACCAGAGCTGCATCTCTCCCACAGGCAGTACCCGCAGGCGCCCCTGCGGCTGGAGAGGCTGAGCCCCAGGGCCCTGGGTCGGCAGGTGCTGCGGCTGCTGGAGCAGTTCAGCCTGGACCCCGGTGAGTGAGCCCTCCACGTGCTGCTCGGGGGCGGGAGCTGGGCAGGCGCTGCTGGGGGCCAGCGCCCACCGCCTCCCAGTGTTCGGTCTGGTCGGTGTCCGTTCCGGTCTCCTTGCTACCCTTAGCAGCCTCTCTGCCCTTCTGGGGGTGCCCCTGGGGAGTCTGGGCCCCATGGGTGAGGACCACCGAGCCTACACGACACTTCCGCCCCTCCCCGCGGCGAGCACAGCGCCCTCGTCCTGCGTCTCAGGGGAGCAGTCTTCCTGACAGTGTCTTTAGCCTCACTTCATGAGATCATGGAAGTTCTTCTCACTTCCGGTCTGTGAGTGTTCATCAGAAACGGAGGTGGAATTGTGTCAGATCCTCTTTTTGCACCTCTTGGGAGGATGCCGTGCGTTTCCCCTTTTGGTCTGTTAATGTGATGGGTTGCATTGACTGATTGCATAACGCTAAGTGATCCTCATGTGTCTGCCATGGCTGAGTCTCCACCAAGTTGCATTGCCATCTACACTACCAGGTCTGGCTTGCCAACCTTGCTTTAAATTAAAGGACTTTGCGTCTGTGTTCATAGCTGAAGCTGGACTCAGACTTCATCTCCCTGAGATGTCTGTTTCCAACTTCGTGTACAAGGTGACACTGGCCTCTGAAAACAGTGGATGTCCTTTCTTTTCACGGAGGGTGTTTGTAAAAGTTGGAATTCTTTCTTCCTGAGAAGTTTTGTGGAAATGACCTGTGAATCTAGATTGCCTTTCCTTATGGAAACAGGACTCTTGACTCAGCTGTGGATCTTTTCAAGGACTTTGTTTCACTTACGGTTCCAAATGTACCGCCATAAAGTGTCCCTAATACCCTTTCTCCCTTACGGCCGAGCACTGCTCCACCGTGTGTTTATAACGCGGCTTCTTTGCTCACCCGTCTGTGGACAGACGCTCAGGTGGCTTCCAGGCCTCTGCTGTTGTGGGTGAAGCTGCTAGGGGCGCGGATATCTCTTTGAGGTTGTGACTCCACAGCCTTTGAATAAACACCCAGAAGTGGAATAGCTGGATCGTATGGTAGTTCCATGTTTTATTTTTTTTTGAGGAACCTCCACAGCATTTTCCATAGTAGCTGCAATGATTTGCATTCCCATCAACAGCGCACAAGGGCGCTTCCCTGGCGGTGCAGTGGTTAAGGCTCTGCACTTCCACCACAGAAGGCACAGGTTTGATCCCTGGTAGAAGAACTATTATCCTGTAGGCTGAGCAGCCAAAAAAGAAGAGCACAAGGGCTTCCCTTTCCCCACATCTTTGCCAGCATTTGTTATTTGTTGGTTTTGATGTGGCAGTTCTGACAGGTGTGAGGTGGTGCCTCTTTGTGTTTTGACTTGTGCTCCCCTGGAGATTAGGGATGTTGAACATATTTTCTTGGCCTGTTGGCCATCTCTGTATCTTGGGAAAATGTCTCTTTAGTTCCTCTGCCTGTTTTTTAAATTAAGATTATTTGGGGTTTTTTTTTTGCTACTAAGTTCTATGAGTTCTTTACATAGTTTGACTATTAACCTCTTATCTTTACATAGTTTGCAAATATTTTCTCCCACTCCAGATATTTCCTTTCATTTTGTTGCTACTGATTTTGTTGCCCTGATTTTCATGTTTTTGATCTTGGCAGTTGTATGCCCTGCTCAACCCACTAACTGAATCTTAGGCCTTTCATCTTGAATATATACCCCAAGTTTCAAAAATATATTACTTTTATTATTGTTCAGCTCAAGACGTTTTTAATTTCCATTATAATTTTTTTCTTTTGCCTATAGAGGAACTAGCAGTGTGTTTGTAATTTCCAAGCTGTGACGTTTTTGGTTCTCTCTTCATCTCACAGTGATTAGAGGCCATACTTCTGTGATGTCAGCCCTCTGATTGGGTTGGAATGTGTTGTTGAGAAGAAATCTAGCTTCTCACCTTTGGAAGCAGCCTCTCGTCTTCTGGCCACTTTTAGTCTCTTCCCTTTGTCTTTGGTGTTCTGCAGTTTCGCTGTGAGGAGACTCATTAGAGGTTTCTCTTTCTTGTTTTTGCTTGGGATTTATGGGACTTGGGGATCTATGGATGGGTGTCTTCAATCCGTCCTGGGAGTTTTCGGCCATTATTTCTTTTGGAGATCGCCTGTTCCCCCTTCCTTGCTCTGGTCTCTTCCCAGGACTCTGCACATATGTTGAGTCCACGCTGTTTTTGCTGTGCAGCTGCCCTCCTGGCGTGGGCCTCTGAGTGGGCAGACCCTGCGCTCTCAGTGGGAGAGCAGTCAGACGTGATGCAGGGTGAGGACTGCTCGCCCCCCTGCCCTGAGTGCACCCAGCCCTCTACCTGGGCCTGGATCCCAATGGAGCCCCCAGGCATCTGGCAGAGTCAGCAGGACCCTCCCGAGGTGGGTGGCTGAGTCTGGCTCATTTGCCACCTTTTCCTTTAAAAGATCTGCTTCCCAGAGGGGTGTGTGGGCTTAGATGAACCAGGCAGTGCAAAGGAGGCCTGAGGGTGATACTGTATGCATAGGCTTTTGACAAAGTATCTTATTGGCAAAATGATGTGTAACATTGTAGAAACTTTGGGAAAGCTGGTTTCTGTCTCCACTAGAAGGAGACTTAATTCTGTAACAGTTCTGGCTGCCTTTTTCCCCTTCCTGACCATCCCCTCCTGCTGAGCACTTCATTCATCCATCCCTTCCTCCTGCAGTCTTGTCCCTAGCAGCCTATAGGGCACATGGTCCCTCGATGTCCTGCGTTCCTGCCTCGGCTGGAAAGGGGAGGGAAGGCTGCAGGGTGGTGGACAGGCCCTGGCCCCAGGCAACCCTGACCTCTGCACTCTCGGACAGCAGTGAGGTGCTCCCTGAGGGCATGCCCCTGTGGCTGGGGCAGCCACACCCGTCTAGAACAGGGGGTCCTGGTCAGGGTCTGGTGGAGGCCTGCAGGTAGGCAGGCTCTGTGGTCAGCAGCCCCCCCAGACTACCAGGCCTTGAGGACAGCTAGCCCCGGGGGGGGCGGGGGGAGCAGCAGCTGGCAGGAGGACGGGGGTGAGTGGACAGTGGGAACCCTTCCTGGGCCTCCTGGGACTCTGAACAGAATGTGAAGGTGTAGCTGACAGGTCAGCATAACTTGTAAACACAGAGCAAGATGGGCCCCTTTTTCTAGAAACTCGTGTTGGGGCATGGGGAGAAACAAAAGTGGCCTGGAAAAAATGCAGGAAAGCCCCGAGAGGTGGCGATCCAGGAGACCCCAAGGGAGGGCAGGCCGGGGGCTCCGGTGCCTGGCCCAGGGCGGGGCACCCTCCTTTACAGCCAGAGTGAAGGCCGCTCGCGAGGAGTGTGCCGGGTAGGAGGGCAGGAAGACAGCGGGAGCCCCCACGCCCGGCCCACACTCGCTTGTCCACCCAGCCCGGCTGGAGCACACCCTCTCTTTCAGCCCTGTGTCCCAGCGTGCTCACCCAGCAGCGCCTGGCTGCCCTGCGGTACCTGTGCTACAAGCGGCTGGTGGAGGTGCGTGGACCGGGGCGGGGTGCTCAGAGGGAGCTCTGAGCGAGGCCTGCTCTCTGCTCCCGGAGTTGCTAAAAGGAAAGCTCACACTGGTGTCCACTTTTGCAGAGAAGCATGTCCCAGGAGAGCTGGGCTGAGCTGGTGCAGGTGAGCTCGGAGGCCCCGGCACATGATGACCCCCCGTGGGGCAGGGTGGGACACAGTCAGAATGACCGAGGGTCCAGGATCCTCCTTCCCCTCCCCGTGGACAGAGCTCCCAGGTGCTGGGTGCGGAGAGGTTCACCAAGAGAAAATTCTAGACTGTCCTCAGGCGCCCTGCTTGCCATGGCTCTGTGATCTGAGGCCTGGGGTGCCCACAGACCACGAGAAGGAGTCAGCTGCCCCTTGGGGTGATACGGGGACACAGAGGGTCGGACTGAAGGTCCAGTCCCAGGCTGCGGTCTGTCATCCCCTTAGGACACTGGCCTGCAGCCTTTGTCCCCAGTCCTGAGCTGGAGGCGGGGGTCATCACGGTGCAGAACCATCCCCAGCTCCAGGCAAAGTGGCCTGGAAGGAAGGTGGGCTCTCCGGGGACCGGGGGCCGTGTGCAGGGCAGTCTGCAGTGGTGGGGAACCAGGGCCCTCCCCACGGAGCGCCCACGCGGGGGTCTGCCAGTGGGGGGCAGTGCTGCGCCACCCCGCACCTGCCCTCCCCCCAACCCGAGTGACCTGCCAGGGCTGGTGAGTCATCAGAGAGGAACGCGGACCCCCAGGCAAGGCCCGGAAGGCCGGTCCCCCCGGGTGCCAAGGCCGAGCCGGCGGAAGGGCAGCGGACATCCTGAAGAATGCGGAGGGGTTTCCACATATTGTCGTCCACGTGGGAACCTGCAGCCTGCGGGAAGCGGCCCCGAGGCTGCCGGGGACAGAGCCGCGTGGGGAAGCGGCCCCGCCTGCCGGCCGGCAGGGACCCCTCAGGGGTGGGGTCCACTGCGGCATGTGGCCCCAAGGACGCGGGCAGTCTCGGATGGAGCCCCCACCCCCACCAGGACCTCTATAGGCCGTGTGGGCCTTCATACAGATGGACAGACAGACAGGAGACGTGGCCTCGTGAGCCCCCATGGCCCCTGCCTCCCCGAGGGCAGGTGGAAGCCCTGCAGACCCCCCGGACTCCCCCTCCCCCAGCATGGCAGTGCCGCGGGGAGATGCAGGCGGAGAGGAGGGCCCGGGAGAGGACACCCTGGGAGGCGGCCCTGGTCCACGCCAGCTCGGTCACCGTGGAGCCTGTCATGGGGACTGCTGGTGTCCAGAGGACAGCCTCCTCCTTGTGAAGGGCTTCAGGGCCTGAGAAGGGAGGTGGGGGCCAGGTGTGAGGGGAGGCTGGGGCCAGAGTGAGGGGTGGTCTTGGTCTGGGGGCTGACAGCATGGGCCCACCCCCTTGGGGCCGACCCTGTGGAGCAGCCCACATCCCATCCCCCAGGGCCTGGTGGGGCAGGATGAGTGGCTGCGGGAGCAGCTGCTACAGTTGCTGGCCTCTCAGGACGACGTGGCCACGGTCGCCCAGTGTGCCCTGGACCTCTTGTTGCCTGAGGAGCGACTCCCAGCCACAGTAGTGGCAGAAATGAGCCAACTCAGGCTCCAGGAGAGGTGAGCATCTGCCAGGCTCCGGGGGAGGGGGACCAGAAGGAGGACATGTCCTTGGTGGCTGGGGGCTGGGGGCTAGAAGCAGGGAGGGCCAGGAGGGGCGCCAGGCACATGAGCGGCGTGCAGACACGCGGGTACGTCCTGGCCCTCCTCGGGTTCTGGCAAGGACCAGCAGCCAGTGCCTCGGCCGGGCCACGTGCCCCCCGGAGAGGGCCCAGTGTGCGAGGACAGAGGCGTGGGAAGCAGGCCCCTAAGGCCCTGGGCACATGCCAGCCTCGAGGGCTCTCCAGCCCTGCAGAGTCAGAGGCTCTGCAGCTCTGCTCCCCCCAGGACGGCCAAGGCGCCCTCAGAGCACAGGCGAGATGACTGCTACCAGCTGCCCATCCCCAGGGAGGACATCCACTTCCTGGCCTCCTGGGAGGACCTGGCCAGGCATGAGGACGTGCTCCTGCAGGTGTGTGCCCGGCTTCCCTGGACGGCTGGCACCCGGCGCTGCTCACCACGGCCTCTGGGGGCTCTGGCCACACTGGCACGCCCAGGGCTGGGCCAGCCTTCCCCACAGAGGCCGCCTTCCCTGGACCGCAGCGCTCGCCTCGCCGCTCCAACCAGCTCCTCTGTCTGCAGCCGGGCCAGGTGGTCGGTGTGGACCTGGAGTGGAGACCGTCTTTCGGTGTGGGCGGCCGGCCCCGGGTGTCACTCATGCAGGTGGCTGTGGCGGGCCGTGTGTTCCTGCTGGACCTGCCCCGGCTCTCGAGTCCCACAGGAGGGCAGGCGCCCCGGGCCTTCTCCCAGCTGGTGTCCCGGCTGCTCTCAGACCCCTCCATCACCAAGCTGGGTAAGTAGCACCCGCCCTTGCCCCAGCCCTGCGGGACCTGGGGAAGGGTGTGCGACCGGCCTCTTCCTTGGCCCCCGTCACAGCGGCGCCCCCCAACTGCAGGTTATGGGATGGCGGGAGACCTGCGGAGCCTGGGTGCATCCTACCCAGCCCTGGCGCAGGCCGTGCAGAAGCTACAGGGCGGCCTGGACCTGCTGCAGGCACACAGACAGGTCAGTGCTGGGGGCGGGCTGGGGGCTCCCTGCTCCCCGGAGCTGCCCGCACGGCAGCGCCCGGGCAACTGTCTCACTGAGGACTTGTCCCCCTCCTGGCCCCAGCCCCAATCCCTGGCCACAGGTCACCAGGGACCCAGACACAGGGTCCCCCAGGAGAGAGTATCGCCACACATCCCCACACTCCCCAGGGCCAGCCTGGCTCTGCCCCTGCCCCCAGGATTCTCAGCACTCCCCTGGGGGTAAAGATGTGGGCCCCAGAGCTGACCGGTGAGCGGGTGACCCCGGCCCTGAGACCCTGAGACAGCCTTCCTGGGCCGCTGGCACCCTCTCTTGGGACGCTGTCCGTCATGGAGGGCAAAGGGCCTGCTCCAGGGACCCCCGTGGGGCAGTCGGCTATGTGCGACGCTGTCCGCCCTCCAGGGCAGGCGCCTCACCCCCGGGGGTGCTGTCTTGCAGATGCAGGTGGCGGACAGGCCAGCCCCAGCTGTGGACAGGGCCGCAGGGCCGCGAGGGCTTAGCCTCCTGGTGCAGCAGGTGCTGGGCAAGCCCCTGGACAAGACGCAGCAGCTCTCCAACTGGGACCGGCGGCCGCTGGGCGAGGAGCAGCTGGCCTATGCAGGTGGGTGCCCCCCTCCTGTCCCGCGCCCCCACACCCTCCACACTGGAGCCCGAGGCTGACCTTGCCTACCCTAGCTGCGGATGCCTACTGCCTGCTGGAGGTGTACTGGGCGCTGTGCAGAGAGCCTGCCCGCTTCCACCTGCCGGGGGCCCTGCCCTGGAGCCTGGGGCTGGGACGAAGCAAGAGACGCGGAACTTGGGAGCCGCCCCCACAGAAGGCCTCGGCCTCCCCCCGGCAAGTAGGTGAAGCCCCCCAGGCCCTTATCAGGGTTCTCATGGGAAGAACCACTCTCCTTAAGACTGGGGCCTCACAGGGTTGGAGACCTGGAGTGGGGGTGGGGAGAGCCTCTGCCCGGAAGGAAGGAGAGCAGGCTCGGGGGGCGAGCATCCTACATGAGGAGGGGCCCCCAGCCCGGCACGGCCCCCGCCGACACCCGGGCGGCCTCGGGCTGTCCCCGTGTGCCCCCGAGACCCTGGAGGCTCCAGTGTTCACCCCACCCCCAGGAGCCGCGTGCCAGCCCCTGGGGTCCTGGGTGGGCTCGGCTGTGTTCCCTGCTTCCCTGCTCTTTTCTGCACTGAGCACACATCGCTTACAGGAACTGAGCACCCTGGGGGCCCTCCCTCCCCCCCTGCCCCCTGCCCC